GAAGAGAAGAGAAGAGAAGAGAAGAGAAGAGAAGAGAAGAGAAGAGAAGAGAAGAGAAGAGAAGAGAAGAGAAGAGAAGAGAAGAGAAGAGAAGAGAAGATGGTGAGACAGCCGCAGTGAGAGGGCTGTGTATCTACTACTGTATATACTAGCTTTCTGGCAGAGTTCCATTGCTTTTGTGTACAGTACCAAGTGACTAAAAGCCCCACTCTGGGTTAATAATGTTCAAAAATACCAGAAGTGTGACTGAATGCATTCCCCTGGGAAAAGTGTGGGCTTTTCAGGAAAATCGCCACTGAATCGACATAGGCCCAAAATTATTGCCGAAAGTTCAAATATAGTGCTTCTTCAGAAAGACTTTACGCAGACATTGATGCATTCCATTCTCTAGATTTTCAAAGCAACATTCGTTTCAGCAGCGGGGTCGGTGAAGTTGATTCTGCAGGAATGTCACAGTCATATTTAGAATAAACTTGTAGGAGTTAAGTTTATAAATGGTATTGTTTGAGAGCTGACAATCAACTGTCATCTTAAAACTGTCTCAAAAACATTTGAGACAAAGGGGTCTCTAATGTTTTGCCCTGAGTTTCTAGTACCATTATCAACCAAACTCTCAGTTTCACCCCCAAAAATAAAATCTAATATATTTCTGTAAAATGAATTGCAAATTCATACTATGCCAAGGATGAATTTGCAATAATTGCTCTTGCTCCAACCACATGTCAAAACGCAACTATAGAATTATCGTTGGGTTTAAACTTGCTACAAACAAACCTTCAGACTTGTTTTCGTATATCAGGCTATAAGATAGCAGAAGAATGCCAAGGCCACATTCTAATAGTCATTACAGCCATCAATGATTGGCATCAGGAGGTCAGGTTCAGGGTCAGTTGTGAGACACCACAAAGCAACAGACCAACCAGAGCATGCAGACTGTATCCTGTTGCTGAGCAACATAGTCATGGTTGGTCACTGAAGAGCTAGCAAACACCCCGTCCAGTCCCACAGGCAGGCCTGTTAATCCCCAGCCCAAACTTTGCATACGCTCTGGTTAATTCCAAATGAACAGTCACACAGCCTGCTGGGAACAAATGTGCGAAATCTGTCCCTTGTCCTCTGCAGCTTATCTGGAGAACATGTTTGTAAAATATCTCCTGACATCATGCTACACCAACTGGGGAAAGAGATCATCTTGACCACAGAAAGCAGATAGCTGTGTATGAGCTGTAATAAACACTCCTACAGTTATTTATATATGTAAAGATATATACATATACTCCACATTAACAGAGAAACTACTGAATCAATTGTCAGCAACAAGAAAGAGAAAAACACATTTTATGACTATTTTAATAAACAGTTAATGGGGAAATGTCACATATCAAAGATTAATAACAGTGCCAGTGCGGAAACAGTGCGACTGGTTGGACCAAGATTAGCCAGCATGACAACTGGAGGAAATAGCATCACGGCCGTGGCACAGCAGTGACACTTTAGGAGCATATTTTAAAATTGTTCTGTTTAATTTTAAGGTGGAAATTACACAAAAGTTGTGGTTGCATTGTAATATGAGGCATGCATGCAATAAAGTAGCTAAGAAGAAGCCATTTAAGCATAAGAGCAACTGTTGTTTGTTATTGTAGGTCTGTGTTTATACGTCCTTTGTGACATGTGTGCTTTTAAATCCAAGTGGATACTTGAAACGTGTGGATTTTACTGTGGAGAGTAAAGCCTGATTTACTTTGAAAAAGTAGTAGCAACAAAAGCCACTCAATCACTTTAACTGACTGAATCTTTCGGCAGTAAAAAGACTCACAAACTAGATGAAGGAGTGTGTTTTGTGCGGGTCACCTTCAAGTAGTACACCACAGGTTCCGACAGTGATGAAGTAGAAATGAAATAAAGCCCAAACAGATAATGAGCAAAGAATGTCAGATAAAAAGCAAAATGCACGTCGTCTTACAAAAGTCTTACAATAAATTAGACAAAAAGTGTAACAGCTGCATTTGGATAAACACATATGATCACATTGTGTCCTGTCTGCTGCCTGGACATCTTCCAAACACAGTGAGCCTTTTCTGGCTTTGAGATAGGAGAAATTTCAGTATATCGTTTTAGAGCCTACTTGAGCATATGAAAAATAAAGCACATTAGCAAGAAAAACACTTGTGAAAACAATTGTGTCTCCATCCAGTGGCTATATGAAAAGAGCCTGATGGAGATGAGTTCATTCATTCCAGTTCCTCATAACCAAGGAAGAATTTCATTATGGTGACTAATGCAGTCAAAGCATGAATTGCACAATGAAGATTTCTTTTAATGGTTCAGAGCTTAGGTTTATGACACAATGTCACAAGAACTGCGTTCATGTTTTCTTTTCAAGTGACTCGCAACTAGACCTTCTGGGAAAATGTTCCAAATCCACACGTCACTCAACAAACTAAATCCCATCAGTATGGCTGTTTTTGTGAGGATCATTGAAAGTGGTCAGAAATATCTAGGTCGTAATAAAACAAAAACAGGGTTGGACATTGCTATGTATTTGCTAAATTAGTCAGTTGTTTGGTGCGCTGTTCCTGTTCACTAGATCAGAAAAATAAAGTCCAGCAATCAAAAGGACACACTGAGTCTTATCACAGGAAGAGAAGGAAATTGCTCATGAATGGGAGATAATGCTGCAGCTCTATTCAAAGACAGATGTGCTTATTTAAACAAGCATACAAGTGCTGGTTTGGGAAATACAAAAAAAACACTTTAATTCTAGTGTTAAGCAACAACTTTGCTTACTTAAAAGTAGCAAAGAAAATCCACCACAATGAACTGA